AAGAATTTATGACCCATTTTAAGGCCCACTGCCTTAACTAATAATTTTATGCCATGTGTCTGGGGATAGTGTAGGCAAGTCAGAAGTCCACTTCTTAAAGTAGTTGTCAAAGGGTTGAGAGCCAGCTGTTTGTAGTGGGTTGTAGACATGGGTTATATCTTTTTGCTGTGTCAAGTCGTGGAGAAGGTTGTCAAGTGGATCTTCCTGAAAGGATGCCTGAGGGGAGCCAAACTATGCCCTTATAGCATCCCTCAATAAGTATTTGAAAAACATTTTGCTTGGTATGGTTAGTTAGTTGTATAGTATTTGGAAGTCCACAAACATCCTTTATGCTAGGCTAGAACTGAGACATCTATTGGTGAAGTTCTGCCATATGAATGAGACGGTATATAATAGGCCAAATTCTGTGGCTGCTCAAGTAACCTCCACCATTGCGGCTACTGTCATAAAAGCTGCATTGTTTGAGGAAAAGAGAAACTAGTCCTATATATAGGTAAGCTGGTAAACCAGGAAATACAGTCATGGCCAAAAATATTGGCACCCCTGTATTTCTGTCGGATAATGCACCACTTCGCGCAGAATATTGTTGCAATTACAAATGTTTAGGCATTCTCATGTTTATTTTGTTTTTATTGGTATGACACAAAATTAACAGCATTTTGGTAAAGCCCATCATTCTCCTGTTTTCATAAAAAGAAATTAGGCCTTTAAAGAAAAAAAATACAGTCCCTACAGTGAAACATGGTGGAGGTTCATTGATGTTTTGGGGTTGCTTTGCTGCTTCAGGCACTGGATGTCTTGACTGTGTACATGGCATTATGAAATCTGAAGACTACCAAACAATTCTGGGGGTGCAATGTAGGGCCCAGTGTCTGAAAGTTGGGTCTCCGTCAGAGGTGACGATGACCCAAAGCACACATCAAAAAGCACCCAGAAATGGTTTCAGACAAAGCGCTGGAGAGTACTGAGCTGGCCAGCAATGGGTCCAGACCAAAATCCCATAGAGCACCCGTGGAGAGGTCTCAAAACAGCAGTTGGGAAAGGAACCCTTCCAATCCGAGAGGGCTGGAGCAGTTGGCGAAAAAGAAGAGTGCTCCAAAATTCCTGTACAGATGTGTAAGAAACTCATTGATGGTTACAGGAAGCAACTGATTCAGTAATTTTTTCCAAGGGCTGGGCTACCAAATATTAATAGATGGTGCCAATAATTTTGTCCAGTCCATTTTTGGAGCTTTGTGTGAAATGTGTCAGATTTGGCTCTAACCCCCCCCCCCTTATCTTTTTTGTGTCCTCCCAATACAAACAAAAAAAAAGGCTCTAACCCCCCCCCCTTATCTTTTTTGTGTCCTACCAATACAAACAAAAAAAATGAACATGAGCATGCCTAAACATTTGTAATTGCAACAGTTTTCTGAGCAAAGTGCTGCATTATCTGACAGAAATTCAGGGGTGGCAATACTTTTTGTTTCAATATATATTTATGATTATGCCATTATTGTTACAATATTTTTTGCCATGACTGTAGTTGACTATACTGGGCAGAACCAGCCCACCAGCATCATGTGTAGCTAGAAAAGCAGATTTGCATATTCAGGGCGTTTCCCCTGCCAAGTAAAGGACAGGCTAGCTTCTATTCTGTGGAAAATTTTGTTAGGAATGAGAGGGATGCTTTAAAGAGGAGAGATATATTTGGGCAGGAAATACCATATTCTAATTTTTGTTTCCGTCTATGTAACCAGAGGTTCTACATTGAGTGGTGAGGTCGTTGTTAATAGTAACACCTTGGCATTTGAACATTTCTGTGGTGGACAGTTGTAAATTCGTTATGAATGAGTAATCTGCAATAAGGCCATTGATAAATGCTGTAGACCTTTCCCAACTCACTTGTACAATAGACATTTGCAAAAATATTAATACAATTTTTCCAGAAGGTTAGTGGTTCAGGTAGCTGGGCCTAGCTTAGGTGATAAGCCAGGGTGGGTAGCATGTTTAATTGAAATTGTAGCTTCCTTTGGCATGGTAAAGAAGTCAATTTTGTCCTGGTACTAAATACGCAGCTTAGCCAGGAAGATCAAGGAGTAGGGAAGCCAAGGCCCTTTATTTTCTGCTTGACCTTGTTCTTCTGAATCTGCACAGTGTAGTCTGGATAGAGGAAAACATCAGCATTGCTGATCCTAAGAGGAGCATTAGATCTGAGATCTGGCTAGGTGAAGATTATTTTCTCTGCGTTTTGTAGCTCAAAGGTCGGAACTACAAATCACTGAACAAAGGAATCCCATTGTTTTCTGTGGACCCTGTTCACACCTGAGCATTCTGTTGCCTGTACAGTAGTAGAAAAAGTAAGAGAGCTACTTTTCTGCAGATTTCTGCGCTTTTGGCCCAATATACTTCAATGGAAACTCATCAATGATGCAATCATTTTTGCGCATTCTGTTGCACACATGGAACCGACTAAAAACACCTCAAAACGCTAGCCAAATGTGCGAAAAAATGCCTTAACGTGACACCAAACTCTAGAATTAAATTTTGAAAATGCATTCAAGTACCTGAATGTACCTTTTGGCCAAGTTTGGTAGTAAGCTGGTGTTCTGTTAATGCTGCAGGGTCGTCATCTCTACTTTTTCTAAGGAAACCTGTTTTTAATACCATCCACCTTTTCCTCCATAAATTTAATTTTTTTTCCCCCTGTAGGTCAGTGTGTTTTTAATAAAGAGTGTTAGATTTCTCCAACTCCCCTTTTACGCCTTTCAGCTTCACTAGTTCTCTCTATCAATTTTTCTCTAGTCACCTTCCAGGACAGCATTAGAGAGATAGGCTCCTCCCACCGGAAACAGGAAACACATCACCCACACCTAGAATAAAAAGAGTACCAGCCTAGCACACCTCAGTTATTTTGTGTTTCCTCCGGCCGAGCAGGACATCGTAACAAGCGTAAGGATCTCATCGGACAATGCTACTGCAATGGCATACATCAACAAACAGGGGGTCACAAGATCTCATACCCTCCTGTCACTGTCCGAGGACATTCTACTCTGGGCAGAGGACTGCATGTCCATGAGTAAGATGTTGATGTCTAACTTAATTTCTTCTATTTTACCTCTGCAAGTGTGGGGTACATATCCAGGCCTGTCTTGTCTGGTGGCAGTGGGGAGGTAAAGGAGTTGTGTAGCAGCTCTGCAGGCATGTGGTGAGGGGGGAGCTGCTGAATCTGGATGTGTCTGTGAAAAGATAACAGCAGTGGGTGGTGCGCACACTGGTGTGTCCATTACTGGGTGCATCCATTGCTAGGCTATGCTGCCTTGTACATGAGTGGAGGCTGGTGTTTATGGCGGCCCATATGCCAAAAAAAAGTGCAGAAGCCTCTGTGGGAAAAACATTGATGGCTGATCTGGGAGGTGTGTCGCAGGATGGAGCAGAATTGTTGTGGCTTGTTTGCTAGAAGCCTCCTAACTTGCATGTGTTTCATGCCCATTCATATGCCTAGGGCACATTGGCTAATATGCTGGACTCTGGAACCCTTGTGTAAAAAGTTTGATTCGCACAACCCCTAAAGGGATAACATTTTTTTTTGCACCTAATCTTGACATCATCATGGATACTACTTGTTTTAGGAGCACTCGACCCCCTCATTGGAAAAAGCCCCAAAAAACCCAGACTGCTCCTTCTCCCTCTTTATCTGTTAAGAAACATACCTCTGGTTTTTCCACTCCTTTGCTCTTCATGCTTCACTCCCCATTCACCCGCAGGGTTTGGCACTCAGTCTGCCAAATCTTCATAAAGCCTTTCTCTACATGTTGGTGCGCCCCCATTTTCCACATTTGGGGAACATTTGTTAACCTTTGTGAACACTTGGGCAGCTTACATCTCAAATGCCTTGGTACTGGTGGTATACAGGGAGTCTCCCATGTAGCACCCCATCCATTCCCCTGGGAGTCCACAGGATCTGAATCTTGTTTTCTCTGTACTTCATAAATCATTTTAACCATATAGAGACATTCCTCTCTCTAATCTGACCCACATGGTGTTGTTTCTTGCTGCCATGGCCTCTGTGAGCGGAGTGCCTGAACTGGCAGCCTTATCCTGCGAGGAACCTTGTCCGTTTCTGCATAAGGACAAGATGGTGTTCAGATGGTGGTGCCTACGGTAGTTTGTCTTTCACCTCAATCTTGTAATTGTTCTTACTTCCCTCTGTCTGGTTCCATTTCACCAAAAGGTAATTTCCTCCCCTTGTCTGGATGTGTCTGAGGGTCTATCTCTCAGCCACTGCTTCTTTCATGTAATCCTGGATGGACCTCGTAAGGGTGCTCTGGGTTCTCTTTTCACCATCTCTAGGAGGCTGAGACAGACCATCATTCACGTTTATGGTCTCAAGGATTCCCCATCAAGACGCACTCTACCATTTTGTGCCCCATATCTCAGTAGACTAGTATATATGTATTCTCACTGCTTTCTTGATTGCAATTCCTTTATTGGACTTAAGAATGATCTGAATATACTGTTGTGCATTTGCATTATGTGATGTCCTAGTTCTGATGTTAAGTGAGAATACATATATACGAGTCTCCCAGTGGTCTTCAGGTTTTAACTTGCAATTATCATGGTATTTTAAACAATTGTGCACAAAAATCTTTTTTGGGGAGACAGCTCTATTTTTTTGTTTATTGGCAATGTCAACCAGGATTTGTTTGTGTATGTATGTAAATATATCAGTAAAACAGACCCAAACACCTTGAGGGGAATTTATCAATACTGGAGCAGACAAAATCTGGAGCAGCTGTGCATGGTAACCAATCAGCTTTTCTCTTAAGTTTGTTCAGTTAAGCTTTGAAAATAAAAGATAGAAGTTGATTGGTTGCCATGCACATCTGCTCCAGTATTGATGAATTTCCCTTATTGTGTTAATTTGTGTAACCAAGCCTTAAGAAATTCTGTGTCCCTCAATCCTATTTTTCCAAGTTTACACAAAAAATGATTCCCTTTTTGAACTGTGCTTGTGACAGGTACGTGGTGTAAATGTGGAAGCAGTTTTGCGAGTGGAAGAAGATGGAGTAAAAAGGAATAATTCTCAACGCCACGTAGAGGATGACTTGGGACTCAGTATGCTTATTGACTCGCAAAATAATCAGTACATATTGACCAAGCCCAGAGATTCCACCATGCCTCGTGCAGACCATCACTTTATAAAGGTAATTCTTTCTCTGTTTATAAATAGAATTTAGAATCTCTGCTGTACTTAAGCTGTTCACTAGGTTCTTCCATAATAGAGAATTTGGTGGAATTTATTTAGCTTGTTGCCTCGATTGAAGCTGACCTTACATTTAAATATGCAAGGTCCGCTTTACTGACAGCCCAACATACCATTTCCTTAAAAACGCAGATAAAAAAATAAAACGTTTTTTTTTAAATAAATAATTACATACTTGCCTAGGCCCCAGCATCTAACATATCGGGGAGGCACAAGTGATGTCACCGTGCCTCACCACAGCCTCCTAGTTAAAGCTTGGATCTAGAAATCCTCTTGAGAATATGTTCTAGGCAAAAAGATTTGCACATTAGAACAAAATTACTAGTTTCTTTGTTGCCAAATGTTTCCATTTCCAGAAGTTTATTAAGTATATAAGGTATATATTATGTATGCCAAAACTTTGCACCATGAAAGCGCTACAGCTGTGTTGAGGGGAATGCGGATAACAGAGATCTAGTAGTCAATGGCCTCCTACAGGAGTGTCACCCAGCTCACTCCTGTGACACCCAGTGTCACCCAGCTCCCCCAGCCTACAAGTGTCACCCAGCTCCTGTGAACATTACAAAAATAAATGGTGTGACGCTGGTGTGATCCATTTTCCCATAATGTTGTTTTGACATATAACTGGTGAAGCCAGTTGTAGGTGAGTCTTGGTAACATCCTCTTCGCACACCATCTCGATGTACCCCAGAATCCAATGAGTGCTGGAACAGGTGGATGGCGCCACAGTATGCAATTTAAAAGGTATGTTGTACACACACCATTCTGCTTCAGAATATTATCTTTATTCACATTCCTTTAGCATGACATATGGATGCAACGTTTCTGAGCCTCACAGGACTTCTTCATCAGCATCCAGGCTGACAAAGGGGTCCTGTGAGGCTCCGAAACGTTGCATCCATATGTCATGCTAAAGAAATACAATTAAAGCTGATATTCCGAAGCAGAATGGTGTGCAAACAACATATCTGTAAGTTGTAGAAGAGTGACACCATTGCCATGGCTCGTAGGAGGGGACAGAGACACAAAATGCTGCAGGGAAATCTTGACTTTAGAGTACCCAAATGACAGAAGAAACCAACAGGTAACATCCCACTAGTGCCCACTCTAAATTTAAATTTCACCTCTTGTTAAAAAAAAAAAAAAAATGTTTGTGCAAAACACATATTAAGATCAAATACATCTGTCAAATTTGTATTGATGTGTGCATCCCCACTGGGGAGATTCAACCCCTCTATTTGTCCTAGTGACCATTACCACAGAGAGAGAGAGAGTTATTAAAAAAACACAATTTTACAGATATTGCCAAACAAAAGCTGGGGGAAATCTCTCAGTAAGAATTCCATTCCGCTGACAACTGTCTTAGAGGACAACTGAACGCAGAAAACAGGACACAGACAGCAAAAAATTAATTGACTTCTTTTTTTTTTTAAATCCAAAATCTTCTATTTAGCACCATTATAAAAACAGTATAATATGACAACATAACAGTCAAGAGTTATAAAGCTGATAAGGCACAATTGCAACTTTAGCTCTCGAAATTTCAACCTAATACATCTGCATAGACAAGAGAAAGCAGTTAAACAGCTACATCTGGTCTACCAACATATAGGGGTTCAAACATAAGTGCATCCCATTCAGATCAATTACAAAAACATACGAGCCTTTGCCTCCTAATACACAGGAAAGGGAGTAAACCGACAATAACAACCACAAGCCCAATTAAGAAACCTGTGATATGGGAGACACAGAGAACACAGTGGGGTGATGGACAGGAACACAAGGAGGTAAAAGAGGGAGAAGAAAAACACAGAGAGAGAGGTATGGAAGGGGCTTATGCTCCCTGCGGAAAGATGGACCTCAGGGCGTAGCTACACCCTGGAAAAGACTAACGATACCCAAAAGGTAATGCCAGGATTTGTTGCAAGGAAACTTTGCCCTAAATGACCAGATTAAGTGGAGGAAGGAGCCACCATTTCACATAAAATAAGCCTCAGTAGTTTGGAAGAAAAAAAACAAGGTCTCCAGGTGGACCTAAATTGAGCCTCAGTATTCTAAAGAGAATGCACACTCTTGCGGCATTAGGGAGATGTACAGTCAAATATTTCTTAGGGGCAGAACCTTCAGTCAGGTGAATTAAACAGGCAGCTGGCTTGTTAGAGACATCTACCATAGTTGTTTTATTGTGTCATAATTGTCAGTGGTTTTAACTCCATCCATACTCTATCCAAAACTTTGATTAAACGCACACTTTCGGAATCCATCATAATTTCACATATAGTGTAAATGTGTCTTATGTGATTCATACGTACATACCCTGTTTCCCCGTAAATAAGACCTAGTACTATTTTTGGGAATTGCTAAAATATAAGACCTAGTTGTGACCATTCCCAGGGCCGGTGGTGGCATAAGGGGGAACTTGAAGAGCCGTAGGAGAGGCAGGAGAGAATCAGCGGTGCCAGCGCTAGAGGAAGCGAGGCGGCAGCGGAGGGAGCAGAGCCGCATAAGCCGATGCCTCCTCTATAGCGCCGGCTCCTGTCACAGGCGGAGTGATACGAAATGCACTCCGCCTGTGAGGAATCGATAGTGAAAGTGCGCTTCGCTCATTCTGGCCAGCGATTGGTTAGCAAATTGCTCTTGGAAAAGTACGGAACCCCTGATTGCCCTGATCACCATATTTTTGTACATGAATACATGTAGACTTTTCTACATGCATAAGTGTGGATTGTTGTACATTAAAAAAAATAAGACCTACCCTTAAAATAAGACCTAGTGTGTTTTTTTGAGCCAAAAAAAATAAAAGACAGTGTCTTATTTTCGGGGAAACACGGTAGTTGCATTCCCCTTGTGTTAGATAAGTGATTTATTACTGTTGTAAAGTCATTTCTGAAAGTAACATTGCTATTACAGTTCTTCTTTCTAATGCATACACATATTGTTTTGCAGGATATTGTGACCATAGTAATGCTATCTCTTCCTTGTGGATGGTTGTGTACAATGATAGGACTGCCAACTATGTTTGGTTACATCATGTGTGGAGTTCTTTTAGGACCATCTGGATTAAACAGTATAAAGGTAATATTATCTCGCTCAGTGTAACTATATGTTTTCTATTGCTTTATGTGAGCTTTCATTTGGCATTCATGCAATATTAAATGCCAAGCAGGAGATCTTGGAAATCAAGACGTGGTCATATAATCTTTAAAGGGAAACAATAATGGTTTGGTGTTTCGCTGTCTCTAATTCAGTCTCTACAAAGGAGACATTGAGTGCAAGTCACTGAAGTCACTGAAATATGGGCTGAGTACACTTCTGATTGTTTCTGCATCCACTGACCCACTGCAGCACTGATCGCTCCCTATGTATGCACAGATGTGTAGTATTTTCTATATTGCCGGGTTTCACTGCTTCTTTTCTTTGTAATAGGAGCTTTAGTTTTTATTAAGATTATTTGCAAAACGGAATCATACTGCGTGATTCTAATACTTAACCACTTCAATCAATGGAGTTTTAACATAGTTTTCAGTACTTTATGTCACTGAAATTTATAGATGGTATCTAGTGCCTCAACCTAGGTTCAGTTACCACAATGGGAAAGTTTGCTGTGCAGGTTCATTGTCTGCTATTACACATTCATTTGTTATATTTATAGCATGGATAACTTATTGGGGATGTTCCTCTTAAATGTTTTCACGTGTAAGGGTTATGTTTGTTGGTTTTTAATGGATCTTCTTTCAATTAAACAAATACTTTGAATATTGTATTTAGTAGTATGGCTTACTTCAGTACACAATAAAAAATGCAAGCACTCCGCAAATTACTCAATTTGTGAATAGGCACACATTTTCTGGTATTGCTTTTAATGTATTTTCTACAAAAACCAAGTATGCAGTGACTGTTAAATCCATGTCAACTGATTGTCATACTACAGCCAATTTTAGACACGAGCCAAATAGCCTACCAGCAGCATGTCTTTGGAGAGTGGCAGGAAACGCACACACAGGGAGATTATGCAAACTGCTGGAAGGCAGACGTGCTGACCACTAAGCCACTGTACTGTCTACTCCATCTACTCAACTGAAATGTGATCTCATTTTAGAATTTTGTAGCGCCATGTTCTTTGTTTATTGTATTCAAGTACATTTACAGGCAATGAAGGAAACACAAATTGGCAGTGAAAACTGTCGCAGTTGCTGAACCTAAATGTGTAACTGCAGCCAAAATGTTTTGTACTTGACATGGATTTACGATGGTGGCCTATTTTCCCTTTTTTTTTTTTTTTTCTGTCAGGGTTATTCACAAAAGAGTGAAGAGTTTGGAGAAGGCTGGAGAAGTGACCCATCTAGGACAACATAGCTGAACCGGAAAGTGAGCTGAATTGGAGAATTTTTCCAAATCAGCTATGTTGTCCTAGATTGTTCACTTTTCCTTCCTTCTCCAAACTCTTCACCCTTTTGTGAATAACCCTGTATGTATTGGCCAGGTTGGGGGGAAATGTGTGCAAATGTGTGTGTGAACATAAAAATAAATTTGTTTTTTACTTTCTCTTCTCAGTCTATTGTCCAAGTGGAAACTCTGGGAGAGTTTGGTGTCTTTTACACGCTTTTTCTTGTTGGTTTGGAGTTTTCTCCAGAAAAACTGAGGAAGGTATGTGTCACCTGTCTACTTCTTTTGTGATGAGCTTTTTTTTTTTTAATCTAGTAATCTAAAGTTCTAAAAGGTATAACATACTGCTATAACATGCACGAAAAGGTTTAGAATACGTATACATACAAAAATAAATGAAAAAGGGCAACATGCAGTTGCAACCAATTAAAAACAATATTAGACCAGAAGCATAGACACATTAGACACATTAGACATAACCATTGTAGATCAATATATTATTTATGTCCAATCCCTACGCGTTTCACAACTTGGCTTCTTCAGGGGATTGTGACCACCCAATTGGAGTGGCTTAATGAGGGTCAAGCTCTCTGTGTGGAGCATAGGCGGGGGGAAAATCCTCCAACAGGAATGCTCCGTACAGTTTTTTGTGTCCCGGGGGGAGACCTCGGGGCAGCAATAGGAGAGAGGGACCTCCAATCTTTTGCCAAGTTGATTGCATGCTGAAGAAGGCTCTCTCTATGTTTATTGCAATTGACCTTTGACAGATTGGTCACATGCTGCCAACTTATATATTACTTTAGAATATCGGAGTGCTAAAGATTTAGCCAGACTTTTGATGTTCAACGTTACCAGTAGGAGTCTGGTGTGAAAGGCACCTTAGCAGGCATGGAATTGCGACAATATTAGCTTCATACATAGATGTGGGGAGGGTGTCCATCGCAAATGCCTCCTTCACTGTTCGCAGAAGATGCAGGAGTGAATTTAAAAAAATACTTACAGGGTTATTCACAAAAGGGTGAAGAGTTTGGAGAAGGCAGGAGAAGCGAACAATCTAGGACAACATAGCTGAACTGGAAAGTGAGCTGAATTGGAGAATGTTTCAAAATCAGCTATGCTGTCCTAGATTGTTCACTTCCCCTGCCTTCTCCAAACTCTTCACCCTTTTGTGAATAAGCCTATTAGACTCCAGCTGGAAGGCCATCTGAACCAGGTACCTTATTCACAGGTAAAGAATTAGGGGGCACCCATTTACTCCATAAGTGTAAGATCAGAGTCCAAAAGATCTCTGTCTACTGAGGTCAATCGCTGCTTCTTTTAAGTCTACATAGTTTATGGGAATTGTGTCCAACCTTTAGAATATGTACTTCTCATATTAGAGAGATAAGCATTAAGTGCAACAAATTCTGCTGACTAACCGTGATTTACAAGTAATACATTTTGTTCAAATTGCAGAAAACGTGGCGGTAATGGCAGAAGTACTTGTTCCAGACATCACTAATATCACTGTACCTGTGCATATGTTTTAGCACTCTTCCTTTACTACTATTTTTACCGTTGTCCAACAGATTTGATTAATAACTATGAATTGAAGATATTTTTCTTTGGTAGTCATGGGATATGTTTAAAATAATTTCCATGGAGTGGTACGGTTGCTTGATGATTTAAAGTTGTTTGCATCTTGTATCTCCTAACATGTTAATGACATTGATTTATGAAGCTGGCGGAATGCACACTGTCTCAGCTGCTTAGTTTACTGACGGATCTGATAACAAAGCTGCTTTCTCACGTTAGGTATATTCAAGAAAATAAATTCCCATGTAAGTAATCATCACAAAGGTGGACAAATGTCTGTAAAGTTGGAAATCTGCAGCTTTCTGAAAGTATTCTTTTACCGTATATACTCGAGTATAAGCCGTCCCAAATATAAGCCGAGGTACCTAATTTTACCACAAAAAACTGGGAAAAAGTATTGACTCGAATATAAGCCGAGGGTGGGAAATGAGGCAGCTACTGGTAAATGTACAAAATGAAGATAGATACCAAACTATTTTGTTTTTTGTTATAGTTACAGCATACTGCTAATGTTTTTGGGTTAATTGAATTTCTTTAAGTTTTTGTTGTTCAACTTTTGATTTTTTTTTTTGGTTTTTGTACTGCGCATGCACTTTTTTTTGTTTTCCAAGTAGACATTTAATACATGATAAAGGGTTCATGGAGTACTATGGGTTGTCTAAAAATACAGCAGAACAGTAGCAGCTTGCCTCTAGGCTTGCCATCTGACTTCGAAACCTCTGACAGAACTGACCTACAAGGCATGCTTAAGTCGTCTTGTTCCTTTGAGCTAAGTGGCTTCCTCTTTGCTGTGAAAACACAGGGGATTGCTTGTTCACTCGACACAGCGCCCATTCAAAAAAATGTCTTGTATTTTTAAAATTAATACAATACGTTCTCTGGACAAGAAGCAGTGATGTCACGATCTGCCCCTTATCCAATCAGAGAATGCCTTGTTGCCCTACCAGGTATAAAATATGCATACTTACTTTAAGGATAGTAGCCTTAGAGTATGCACAAAAATGTAGGCAATGGCAGCTGCCATACTTCTGTCCTGATATGTTCCTTTAAAGTGATATTAAAGTCAAAATACTTTTAACTCATTTTGAATGCTGATTACATCTCTTACAATGGATGCTGCTGTTTGATGTTGAAAACTTTTAATTTCCTCCAGAAACAGCTTGTCTCCTAAGCACTGGCCTGATATCCTGTTTTAGGGTGGCTCCTTTCCCTTGCAGGATCCCATGTAGCCACCCGTGTGTGTACTAGTAAGCTGTGTGTCTCCACAAACACACAGGCACATTAAAGCAAGCCACTTCCCTCCTCCCTGCCCAGACTTCTCCAAGCTAGTAGATGGACAGCTACTGGAACTGTGCTGTCCTTTGTGATCTTGTATTGAAAAGGAAGTTCAGGGAAGCAAAGCTGAAGGAGATGGAGCCAGCTTTTTGGAAACATAATGACTAAGTGCTTGGGTGAAAATGTATAGAAAGACTCAGCTGGGCAATTTATATTCAGCATCTGAATTCATTATTGAAAAAAGTTTGGGAGTTTAATATTGCTTTAAATGTGCAAACGAAGATCTGGAAAGTCCCATCACTTCAGGGCATGAATCTACCATTGGCAGTCTTTGTGAGGTTAAATGAGAACTATGAGGTGAGTGCTTAGGGTGACGGGAGGATGCTAGTTTGTGTCCTCCCGTTACCCTAAGGAGAACTATGGGGAAAAGCCCTAACCCCATAGTTCTCCTTTTAACATAAAAAGAACACCCCCTTTTACTCTAAGGAGTATTATTTTTAAACTTCACAAAACTGTTTTTGAGGGACTGCTCTAACAATACATATTACAATGTACAAATATATTGCGCATCATCTGTATTTAGACGTACTGTATGTTTACTGATTGCAAACATAACCAAAAGACTACAGGGGGAATTTATGAAAACTGGAGCAGAAGAATCCTTGAGCAGTTGCCTATGGTAACCAATCCGCTTCTCTCGTCAGTTTGTTCAGTTAAGGTTTGAAAATGAAAGGTGGATGCTGATTGGTTGCCATGCACAGCTGCTCCAGTTTTGATAAATTTGATAAATTCCCCTTATTCAGTTTAGTAGAGGGCTGACTAGATCTTTATGTCAGCATGTACTAATTTGTAATGGAAAAACTGCTTTGTGGAACATTACTAGCTCAGCTTGGTTAAACCTTTGATTGTAGAGAGACTAGGAATTAGTAGAACATTTAGTTTTGATTAGGAAGTCTGCTCGTACAGATATTATGTAAAGCATTGCTGATTAACAGAAATGAGACTGAACATTTTTTGTGGTCTTGCAGGTATGGAAAATAGCTGTGCAAGGGCCATGCTTCATGACTGTTCTGATGATTGCATTTGGTTTGCTTTGGGGCCACTTCCTGCAGATCAGGCCTGCTCAAAGTGTCTTCATATCAACTTGTTTGTCTCTGTCAAGCACACCCTTGGTATCCAGATTTCTTGCAGGCGGGTCTCGTGGAGATAAAGATGGTAAGACGACAAACTTCATATTGACATTTATGCTGGATTTCACCCTCCAGGAGCCTGCTATACGTCTGCTTCATAGCCAAGGGTTTTGGTGGTGACCACACATAAAAGAAAAAGTTTATTTATGCACCGCTAACCTTAGCCTGACCCTTTAGGGTACACCTAATACTGCCCTCAACCGAACCATAGAACCTAACCCCTAAATTAATACCTAACTTCCTCAACTTTCAATCCTTAGCTTAACCCTACAGACAAGCAGGTTAATATATAAATGAAAAACATATAAAGAAACTGCTTGCTAAATGGTTTATATTTTTGTGCATCCAGTCCTGAAATGTACACATCTCTGCCTCACAGCACTACCCTGATTGGCAGTACATTAAACCTGATTTTTCTCTGCTGACGTTAAATAACATTTGCAGGTCTTGTCCCTCCCCCAGCGAAAGAGAAGCAGCAAACTGGGGAGCTCATCTCTGACACACTACTCTCCTTCTATTAGGATATTCCTTGTTAGCACATACTGTATGCTTTGGAGCACATCGCTCCACACACCAACTATCTGCAATTAGCGTGTCTTCAGCAACAGCTCTTTCTGGTAGCACTTTCTCCACACTAGTGGTGTGTCATCTGTCCTAGTCTGGAGTACCAGGATTAGCAAATCCCACTGTGTACTGGCATTTTGCTGAATAAGGCAAGCATTTTGCTTATAGAAGCATTCAGCAAAAGCTTGCCTGTTTCAGTATTCTGATCGTTGTGGCACCCAGTATAGAAGCATTCATCATAAGCCAAAAGCTGCCTGTCTCAGGCTTCTGATCCTTGTGGCAACCAGCATTCAGCATAAGCCAAAAGCTGCCTGTTTCAGGCTTCTGATCGTTGTGGCAACCAGTATAGAAGCATTCAGCATAAGCCAAAAGCTGCCTGTTTCAGGCTTCTGATCGTTGTGGCATCCAGCTACAATTATCAGAAGTTTAGTAACATCTGATCCTGTCATACCCCAGTACCGGCCAGGATCAGTGTCACTAAGGTTAACTGTTTGATATAATTGACAAACCAGTGTTTGTAAACACTGGCTTGCCATGCCCCACCTTCTCTCCCAGTCAGTAATAACTGACAGCAAGAGAAGTTAAAATGTGTGAAAAAATTATATTAATATATTTTTATGCTATCATTATTATAAAAATGTACCCCTCACAATTAAAATTTCACACTAAAGGTTTTTTTTAACCCCCTCATGACCGCTCTTTCCCTAAGAGTGACACTTAGTGACATTGTATACCACCTGGTGACCACTATTCACTTTTAGAGAAATAAATGTATATGTTGGCTTTCAGTTTTAGGCTGAGAAGTACAGAAACATTTCTAAAATCCTAGGCATGTGAGGTGTTTCCAAATAAAGGACAAATAAATTAATTTATTTGAATGCATTTTTTTATCTGTGCTATTTTTCTAAAAATAATAATCAAAACTGGGGAAAAAGTGTTTTCTTCAAATGTTTTATTTTTTTCTTTGTACTAAGTGAGGCACTAGGCACACATATGTGATATAAATATAAAGCCCTCTCTGTCCTCTAAAAAAATCAATATATAATATGTATGGGTACATTTAGTAAGAAATTATATTACTGCCGTGAAAGAATCACACAGCAAAATTGTAAAAAGTGCTTCAGTCATTAATGAACAGAAACTGAAAAAAGCTCAGTCACGAAGGGGTTAAAGCCCAAATGTTTTACGTTTTGGATGGAGTTACATAGTATTTGAGGTTGAATAAAGACATTAGTCCATAGAGGAACAGTAATGACTTCTGTCTGGTTTTAAATGCTGCTTATTTTGCTGTTGGAGTGATTTATCTTTATTAGACAACAAGTGGAGGGAAATCTACCCAACAGGGAAATAGACACAACATAGACATCCGTATAAGCTCGGAAGTCGCTTCTCCATCTTACAAAAAAAAGTGTTTACTACTGACAGTGCCCTCATTGGGGAGAGTTCTTCCCACTTTGTTCTAACACCCATGGTGTATAAGATAGTAATGAAAAATGTCTCCAGTGGGAACCCAGACGGAATGCAAACATTATTAGAGAGTTTTTTTAATTGTTTTTTTTACAACTCTTTAACTGATTTAAATTGTATCTCAACCCAAAGAAACAGAAAGTGAATATATAGCAACTTACAAATCCTTAAATGTGGATGCTGCATCAGTTTAATTTTTTTTTTTCACTTATTAAACATGTTGATCTGACCAGTAACACACTTCCGGTCTTAAGCTGGACATACACTTTACAATTATTGATTGGAAATTTTTGTTGCTGCCAAGAACCCTTTTTCCATTTTAGCTCAAATACCCCATCATGCACAGACCAATGTCGATTTCAATTATGATTCATTGGCAATACTAACTCAACTAATTTCGTTGATTGACGGAATGGATTTTCGTTTGCGCATGTGCAGTGTTCTTGTTGCGATTTTTTTTTTTTCCCATTTGAAAACGCCACTAATCCATAGATTTTTTTTTTTTCCCGTTCAGTTCGAAAAAAGTTTTCCAGCCTGACCGATCAACAAAATTCGGCCAGGAGTACAGTAATTGTGATTGTTTACTTCCCATCAGCTGGCCGATTTATCATACGAAAGCCTGATTGTGTTCGTTTTTTGAACGATAATCAGCAGGTGTATGGGCACCTTTTAGAGTGGTTTCCCTTTCTGGAGGCTCAGCGCAGCCATCCTTTGACAGCAGCATTGTGTAGAGGATGTTAGTGTTGGAGTTAGTGTTGGAGTTAGTGTTGGAGTTAGTGTTGGAGTTAGTGTTGGAGTTAGTGTTGGAGTTAGTGTTGGAGTTAGTGTTGGAGTTAGTGTTGGAGTTAGTGTTGGAGTTAGTGTTGGAGTTAGTGTTGGAGTTAGTGTTGGAGTTAGTGTTGGAGTTAGTGTTGGAGTTAGTGTTGGAGTTAGTGTTGGAGTTAGTGTTGGAGTTAGTGTTGGAGTTAGTGTTGGAGTTAGTGTTGGAGTTAGTGTTGGAGTTAGTGTTGGAGTTAGTGTTGGAGTTAGTGTTGGAGTTAGTGTTGGAGTTAGTGTTGGAGTTAGTGTTGGAGTTAGTGTTGGAGTTAGTGTTGGAGTTAGTGTTGGAGTTAGTGTTGGAGTTAGTGTTGGAGTTAGTGTTGGAGTTAGTGTTGGAGTTAGTGTTGGAGTTAGTGTTGGAGTTAGTGTTGGAGTTAGTGTTGGAGTTAGTGTTGGAGTTAGTGTTGGAGTTAGTGTTGGAGTTAGTGTTGGAGTTAGTGTTGGAGTTAGTGTTGGAGTTAGTGTTGGAGTTAGTGTTGGAGTTAGTGTTGGAGTTAGTGTTGGAGTTAGTGTTGGAGTTAGTGTTGGAGTTAGTGTTGGAGTTAGTGTTGGAGTTA